AATAACTTGGTACGGGTATTGTCAGTGTTTCCTACTTGTGTTTATACTGTTGACTGTTGACTATTGATTGTCTTAGTTTTTAATGCCATTTTTCAGTTTTCAGTAAAAAAAAAGTGATCCGTCAGTAAATTTTCCATGTTTTGTCAGTAAAAAATGCTGCAGGAGGCTGCCCCCCCTTATGATAGCAATAAAGTTAAAAAATGTAAAAAAAATAACTAAAAAAACATAAAATAAATAGCAAAAAAACAAAAATTAAAGCACCCCTGTAACCTCTTTACATACCCTGTAAAAAAATTTCAGTGTGGGATGAGCATATAAATGTAACATCAATTCTAGGGCCCTAATTCTTGGTTAACTCTAAACTGATGACTTACAAAGGCGTTTACCATATTTTTCGCTCCATAAGATGCACCTGACCATAAGACGCGCCTAGGTTTTAGAGGAGAAAAACAAGAAAAAAATATTCTGAACCAATGGACTGCAGACAAAGTACAGGGGATGACCAAGGACTGCAGACATAGTACAGGGGATGACCAGAGACTGCGGACATAGTACAGGAGATGACCAGAGACTGCGGACACAGTACAGGGGATGACCAGAGACTGCGGACACAGTACAGGGAATGACCGGAGACTGCGGACATAGTACAGGAGATGACCAGAGACTGCGGACACAGTACAGGAGATGACCAGAGACTGTGGACACAGTACAGGAGATGACCAGAGACTGCGGACACAGTACAGGAGATGACCAGAGACTGCGGACACAGTACAGGGAATGACCGGAGACTGCGGACATAGTACAGGGAATGACCGGAGACTGCGGACATAGAACAGGAGATGACCAGAGACTGCGGACACAGTACAGGAGATGGCCAGAGACTGCGGACACAGTATAGGAGATGACCAGAGACTGCGGACACAGTACAGGGAATGACCAGAGACTGCGGACATAGTACAGGAGATGACCAGAGACTGCGGACATAGTACAGATGACCAGAGACTGCAGACAGTGCAGGGGGGAAAAAAGTGCATGTTATGGAGCGCAAAATACAGTAAATCATTGCCCATGGAATATTGTGTTTTATGATTTTATGGCCATGCACAATTTTACAGCTTGACATGTTTGGTATCTAGTTACTTAACAGAACCAAATCTTTTATATTTTGCCAAAGAAATGGCAATTATATTGTGTTTGCACTAAAATTAATTTTAGCATATTTTTTCCTGAAATTATGTGTTTGCTAAATAGCTGCAAAAACACTGTGTGACATAAAAAAATTTGCAGTTACCATTTTATTCACCCAGGGCCTCTGTACTGGAGAATATATTGTATACCTTTTGGGGGGGGGGGGGGGGGGGTTGTTACAGTAACTTGTTTGTAAACAATGCAGATTGAAACGTGTGTAAAAAAGTAAAAAATTGCCCTGGTAGACAAGTCATTAACCACTTTACCCCCCTTCCTGACCAGTCCATTTTTTGCGATACTGCGCTGCATTACTTTAACTGACAATTGCGTGGTAATGCAACGCTGTACATAAATTAAATTTATGTCCTTTTTTTCCCCACAAATGGAGCTTTCTTTCAGTGATATTTGATCACCTCTGCCTTTTTTTTTGCTCTATAAACAAAAAAGACCAACAATTTTGCAAAAAAATATATTTTTGACTTTTTGCTATAAAACATATCCAGTAAAAAAAAATTAAAAATCACATTTCTTCATAAATTCAGGCCAAAATGTACTCTGCATACATGTCTTTGCTAAAAAAAAATCCCTGTACATGTAACATAATTGGTTACGGAGAGTTACAGTGTCTACAAATGGTGGTATACATACTGGAATTTTTTTGTTATATTTTCATACTAGTAATGGCGGCGGTCAGCGACTTATAGCTGGACTGCGGAGGGCATTCTGACACTGGAGGGGAACTGACTAACCGCCACTGACATTTCCAGTGAAGCTAATACAATGATCAGAGCTAATAAAAAATATGACTAATTTTGCTGTAAAATATTACATGGGGGGGGGGGGGGGGTGTTTCTAGGACTTTCTGCCATCTTTATAACCAGCTTCTTTGACATTGGTAGAGTTTGGCACATGGTCCTGTGAAAATTGTTTCAAACCAGTAAATTAATAAGCAGCACGGTAGAGGAGGTTGACTGTATCCCTGAATTTAAACTGGATACAAAATCATGTAAGTACACATACAGTGTCTGCCTAAAGAATGGATTTATAACAACATGTCATACCGAGGCAAATTCTTTGCACCTGAAAGAAAAACAGCTCATGATCTTCATACAATTCTTTGTTGATAGAGACTAATCCACATGGCTTTTCTATTTTCCCTCCATTAAATGGAGATGTATTGTAAAGAGTACCTGTTCATTTCAGTTACAATTTAAGGAGAACCAGGTAAGGTCAGGTTAGGACCAAAATATATATTTATATATTATTATACAGAATTTATATAGCACCAACAGTTTGCGCAGTGCTTTACAAAATGAAGGTAGACATTACAGTTACAATACAATTTGGTACAAGAGGAAACATGGGGCCCTTCTCGTTAGAGCTTACAATCTAGGAGACACACTATACATGAACTTTAATGGCATGCCAGTGTTAGTCCGTAGGGTTCAATATTGAGTTGGCCCACCCTTTGCAGCTATAACAGCTTCAACTCTTCTGGGAAAACTGTCCACAAGGCTTAGAAGTGTGTCTATGGGAATGTTTGACCATTCTTCCAGAAGAGCATTTGTGAGGTCAGGCATTGATGTCGGATGAGAAGGCCTGGCTTACAGTCTCCGCTCTAATTCATCCCAAAGGTGTTCTTTAGGGTTGAGGTCAGGATGTGATGCATCTTTTTAAATGAAAAAGTGCATTTAGACCTAAGTCTTTAATGAGAGGTCATGGCTATTTGGTACGTTTTCTGGAATGGTGGTGGTGCACAGCGATGGAGTAGAGCACTGAAGGCAATTGAACTGCGATCTGCACAATTGTTTGCACAATTTTTCATACGAATTCACTTTCATTAATATATGTGGAAGAAGAGTAACATATACAGTACTATGGAGAAAACACTTTATTATACCACATGTGGACTTTATAGCACTTTAATTGATTTGCAATTCACATTTTATGTATAGTATTATCATATGTTGATATCTTCACTATTAGTATGTACAGCATATTGTTTACATTAGAATCTAGGAGGAGCGCTGTACATTGTCAGTTATATAATTTGTAGAACTTTACTGAGTGTAAATACAGCTGCTGTACTGTGGGGTGATTGAAGTAGTGCAGGTGTTTATGGTTATTAGTTTTTTTTAACTAATATAATGTTTATATTAAACTTGACTGTAAGTTCGAGCAAACAGCATTAAGTGGTATATGTGTATGTAATAGCAACTCTAAGCAAAGAAACAACACATACAGCAACATCTCAATCAGTATTAGCAGGCCTGCTATTCAGAAGTTAAACCAAAACCTCCAACCTGAGGTGTTTTTAATTTTCAGTGAGCAAGGAAAACTATCAAAGACTGAACTAGCTCACTTTGGGCTCTGAGGATCTGATGGCAAGGTTTAATTCTGAGATAGGAAAGAGCTCTTTAACTAGGGTAGTCAACGTACCTTTAAATGCAGTGAAGGATCTTATGCGTGCTTGTTGGGGCCCAGTTGGTGCACTACAATGATACAGACCTTTTAAGTGGGAAGAGATGAAGGTGACAGTCCCTCAAAAAATTAATACAAGGCAAGTAAGAAGGAAGGACAAGTACTATCCCTTTAAGAGACACTTGACTTGGGTGGTGTCCCTTTAATGCACTGAGCAAAATGCAAATTTCTGCCAAAAAAGGTGTCAGAAGTTGCCAGAAGCACTTGCTGACAAAAGGGCAACTCCTCTCTGGGCTGTAGTAACTATAGTGGCAGATGTTCCTTTAAGAGGGTAGGCCAATGATGTGGTTTGGCCTGCAGAAGGTGTGCACTGCGGTCAGCTCTGATGATTGAACTATGCTGCAAATGTGTTCAATAGTAGTGGCCGAGGAACTAGGCACGTGCTAACTATATGCAATGTCCACAACTGAGTGCAGGAAAGTAGCAGATTTGCAAGGAATGTCAATGTTCACTTGTTTGCCTCATGTATAGGACTCTTTCATTCGATCTGTGGCATCACTCAGGTCCCGACAATCTCTCACTCTCTGTAGATGGGGACCCCAACAGTTTCTCCGATCCCACGGGCAGCATTCCATCTGGGCACTGAGCTCCGGGTCACCTACTGGCAGAATGTCTCGCTTAACAGGGTGACAATGCTGGTGGTCAGTGACCCCTCCTAGTCTCTCTTCTCTTTAGCTCTGCGGTCTCTCTCCTCTCACTTCCTGTCCTGTCTCCTGGGCTTCTGTATATAAATTTCCCCACCCACTAGCCAGCTCCTCTGGGAAATGTAGTCCTCTGATACACTGCTACCCAGCAAAGTCCTGCGTTTTAGCATACAAGGTCCAAGGGGCTGTTCTACAGAGTGTGAGTGCCACTGAATTGCAGGACACTGCCATCTTGTATTTCTCTTAACATCCTGAAAAATTTACCATCAAAAATGAATGAATACATATAAATATAAGGAGTGTAAAAAGAATTGTCCTAAAATGTGGGTCTGATATGAGAGGAAAAAAAAGAAAATACAAAAGAATATCTCCAGATACTGTAGGTCTATCTGGTCTGTGGGGACCCCAGTTATAAACAGCAGACAACACAGACACCAGGGAAATTGAATTATATGTTCATCCAAAATAAAATGACAGCTGTAAAACTCAGACTTGTTGTGTTGGACACTTTAGCCATCAATATGTTGGGTCTCCATAACGCAGCATGGAATGGTATCCACCATCAAGGCAGGTAAGTAAAGGCAATGGTCTCCGCTATATATAAAACATATGTACACACACATACAGACACATACAGACACATGTATACACACACAGGCATGTATAGACACGCATACACACAGATACATGTACATACACAGAAATACACATGCACGGACACGTACATACACACAGACACATGTTCATGCATACACAGACACATGCGCATACATACACACGCTCATGTACATACATACACACACACACACATGTAGATGCACACACACAGACACATGTACACACACACATACATGAACATGCATACACAGACACATGTACAGATACACACATGTACATACACACAGACACATGTACATGCATACACACGCACACATGCACACACGTAAACACACACACACCCCCCTATAAAAAGTTGCAGTACTTCGTTGTTCACTCACAGAGCCGGGTACTGCACTCTAGGGGGAGGCAGAGAGCACAGCACACACTCCTTCCTTTGCTTTCACTGCGCTCAGCTATTGAGCAGTCTGATGGCTCCCAGTGCCAATGACAGTTCCGGCCTGAGCTTCAAGCCTGCTCAGCAAGACGGCCCTGGGACACACACTTGCCCCCACCATAATTTCCACTCGCCACTGGCGAGCAGGCGAGTGGAAATTTCAAGGCCTGATGTACAGTATAATATAATGAATTTATTAAAGGGTATGCACTTTTACAGAGTCAACAGTCTCTGCTTAAAGAGAGTTCTGGAGTCTTAACAAAGGGGACTTGTAGGGAAACGTGTAGCTCCGCCCATTCACATCCAATGCGTGACATCATCACAAAGATCCTCTGACTGGTGATCTTGCTTCCTTGCTATTCACAGTGCCCTGGTTCTCCCTGGTTCTCATCCTTTGAGAGACTAGCGTGCTTCTTGGCACTTATCCACCTATGACTTTCCAGGACTGACTGTTTATTAAGACCCATGATATATGCCACCTGCTGAAGTTTTTGGTGTATTGCCTGTTGCTTAACTTACTATACACGAGTGCATTTTGATCATTAATCATTTTATTTAATAACTAATACTACACTTAAAGCACTCTCTCCCTTTGGTTTATGTTTTCTACCATCTACCATCTTTACATCTACTGATGAGACCATCCACCAGTAACAGCTCCTTATCCACCCCCACATACATCTCCATTGGAGACCTTCGGAAGGCCGCCATCTGCTGGCTTACACAATCTTCTTGTGAGTGCATCCTTTTATATTTTTGTACATTTCTTTTTAGTACTACTACACTGAGAGTGGTGTGATTCCGGTTTCTCCTTTTTATCATTTTGCATCCATCAGAGAATTCTTAAGAAGCTACTGTTCGTTGATATCTCTACTGAACATGTTGATGCTGTGTTCTATCCATGTGTTTGTGAGTACAATACTTATCATAAGGGTTTTCATTTTTTCCCTACCCTCTGAAGAGTAAAAAGCCTTCCAGGTCAGGCCCAGAGAGAGAGACTCAGGACAGGGATGGGACCCATACTAAAGCAATTCATAATGGAGAAAGTGGAAAGATGGATGAACTTTCTGAGTTCAAGTTCTGTTGCACTTAAATGTTTTGTACTGGAAATTTGCGATGTGTAAGTGAAGAAGCTGCTATGCAGAATGTAAGGTATGTTGCTGACAGTAAAATATGTTAAAGTGCTATAGGTGTTGGCATTTATTTGTGGTGGTGGCCTTTAGGCCTGGAGAATGTGAGTACAACATGCTGGAGTTTCTTTCATTCTCAATATACAGTACATTCCTCTGAGTATCTAAAAAGGAGCTTAAAAAATGTAATGCCAGATATCTGCAGGTTACAAAGCAGTTTTAGTTTTATTAAATGGCTGATATTATTATATTATAATATAATGTGAATAGTTTTACATTTTGGAAGACTAACCTAGCATGAAATATTCCTAGAAGTTTTGAGGGCTTTTATTGGGTCCCTTTAAACTGTGGCTCTGCTTGGAAAGGTGCTGGCCATGCTTTACTGATGTGTGTGACAACAGCGGGGAAATCCCCCCAGGGTCCTACATTGACTGCCAGGGCTTGATTGTAAACATATGGGCTCTTTTCTTTGGCAGCATTCTCAATATATGTTCCTATGGAAAAATCTAAAAAGGATCTTAAAAATGTAATGCCAGATAATTGCTGGTTACAAAGCAGTTTTATTTTTTATTAAAGTGCTAACATTGTTATACTTATATTTTTTTTATGTGATTACCGTAGTTTGACATGACTTGGAAGAATAACCTAATATGAAATATTACTAGTAGTCATGAGGGCCTTCACTGGGTGCCTTTAAACCATTGCCCCCCATTTGGGGAGGTGCTAACCATGTATTGCTAGTAGTTATGAAGTCCTTCACCATGTTTCTTTAAATTGTGGCCCTGTGTTAGGAGGTGCAGGCAAGGCATTAACTGCTGTCTGTGAAAATGGTGGTGAAATTCCCCCAGGGACCTACATTGACAAGCAGTTTGATTGTGAACCTATGGCTTTGTTTTTTTGGGGGGAGCCATTCTCAATATACAGTATATTCCTATGTAGAGTCTGAAAAGGAGCATGAAAAACCATAACGTCAGATAATTGCTGGTTATGAAGCAGTTTTATTTTTATTAAACTGCTGATTTTGTTATATTTATATTTTTATGTAATTAGTTTTACATATGAAATATTGCAAATAGTTATCAGGGCATTCACCAGGTTTCCTTAAACTGTGGCCAGTATTGCTAGTAGTTATGAAGGCCTTAACCAGATGTCTTTAAACTGTGGCCCTGTTTGGGGAGGTGCTGGCCATGCTTTACTACTGTCTGGGATAATGGTTAGAAATTTCCCCCAGGGTCCTACACTGACAGGTAGAGCTTGATTGTGAACCTATGGCCTCTTTTTTGGTGGGCATTTTCAATATACTGTATACTCGTATGGAGAATCTAACAAGGAGCTTAAAAAACATAAATCTAGATAAATGCTAGGCATGAAACAGCTTTATTTTTTATAAATTATTGATTTTCTTATCTTCATATGTTTATGTGATTCGTTTTACATTTATGTTGCACCCTCCTAGTCAGCTAGGGGAGCTAGACTCCAATCGTTAGCAAGCAAGGCTGAGTAGCACCCTGGGTGTGATAGCTACCAGGAGTCAAATTGTGGTCAGAGCTGAGAGGGTCTGCAGACCAGCCCTCTGGAATTTCCCCCTACTCTAGATCTTTGGAGAAAGGTCTAGAAGCAGTAGGTGCATCTAAGGAGTGGCTGGTCTGTATTCTTGGAGGATCCTGGCCAATCCCCAACAGGAGGCTTGGCAAGGAGCCAGGAAGGCCTTTAAGTGTGAGGGAGCCTGTTCAGCAGGAGGGGAGTTCAGGTGGAAGACAGAGAGGATGTAAGGCTGGAGGCAAGAGCCTGTGAGGAGGCCAAGATGGAGAGGTGCTCACCTACAGGCAGAGGAGCTAGGAAGGAGGAAAGCTCAGGGAAGGAGTGGCCCAGCTAAAAGGCCTGGTAGCAGCCACTAACCCACCAGCAGCACAGGGGAAGGGCTGAGTGGGTAGACCTGCACCCCCTGGGCCAGAGGAGTGGGAAGCTGGATTAGCCTTCCACCCAGGACTGTTTCACTATTCATGTGGCAGACACCAGATCCCCTGCTCGGGGATTCCTCCAGACAACTGCAAGAAGATGAATTATCTGGGGTCTGGGGTGGTACTACAGGAGATGCTGGCTAGCTCACCAAAAGAGACTGTTTGCTGTAACCACTGTATATAGTTCAGGAAGTTTTTCAGTTCCATTGGGCATCCTGTACAACCTTACCCTATCCAAGTTGAAATCCCCCTAATAAAAATCCAAAAACAAGCTGAAGGACTGGTTACTGGCTCTTGAAAGCAAGTCGGTGTGGAAATGTGTGTTGCCTGGCTCTGCAGGATTATAGGGGGACACAAATACTTCAGCAACTTGTAAAGGGGTAGTGCTACATTTAGGAAGAATAACCTAATATGAAATATTGCTAGCAGTTATGAAGGTTTTCATTGGGTGCCTTTCCACAGTGGACCTGTTTGACGAGGTGATGGCCATGTCAATAGAGAACACAGTTTCAGTTGGATTTCTGTGAACATCAAATGTCATTACACTTCTCCTTTATGTGGCACACAGTAGGTAAAGGAGAAGGGCTGAGTGGTGTTTGATCCGATAGCAAAAACATCTCAGCTCTTTAATTAAGGCTACTTAAGTGCTTGCTGATTTGTGGGCTGCAGACAGTGGGCTTGCAGAGAGACAGCTAAGGGTTGCGTGACAACACATAGCAGATAACTGTATGAAGTTCCCCTGATTTGCTATCCTCTGCCGAGGAAACAAGGGGATTGAGTTTCAGTCTGCATTGTCATTGAGTATTTGAAGGGTAGAACCTGATGACAATCCACATCTTCCAAAAATATTTCTCCTCTCACATTGTAATTATGCATTGTTATGCATACTTAGACTTTACCTAACTAGCTGTCTGTAAAGTGTTGTAGTGAAAGGAGTTCAGTGAAATGTGTAACAGCTGTTAAAAAGAAAATTATACAGGCAGAATAATGTTTTGATGGTGATACATATTTTTTCTTAGAAACAACCATTTTCTTTCTAGGCATAGTACATAGTCAGGAATTACAGCATATGTTCTTAATTTTTCATATATAAATGTTTCATAGCACTTTTGAAATGTATTGTGTGAAATTTATTTATTAATTCATGTATTTATTTTAAATGCTTACTTGTCATGTTTTTTCTTTGTATAAATGATTTTGTATATCACTTTCAAGTAGATTCAGAGCTTTTTGGTTGTCTACAAAAGAGGCCTTTATAGGAAAAAAACATGAATAAATACACAAATAATCTTATTGGGAGATTTTTTTTCTTAATGAATAGACTGGCAACATGGTCTATATTACAAGTCCAAATTTTTAACCGTAAACATTTTTCATAGATTCCTTGTTTATCATTTTATATAAAATTTTACTTTATTTATACCTTTCATGATTTTTTTACTTTATCATTGCTAGACACAAGAGAAACTGGTTTCGCTTTGCCCAAATGTTGTCCAAGATAGCAGGATATCACCATTTTGGGAAATGGAAATGTATGAATGAGTGTCTTCAGTTATGGTCTGGTAATGGCCTGAGTATTCCTCCATTTATTTTTGGATGCACTTTGTTATTGGCTAAGATGTTTTAAAAAAATAAATGTGAAAAGGGTGTGCAGCTAACATTTTGAAAAATGCAAAAAAAAGTAAATGAAAAGGCAAACTTATAAACAGGGGCGGACTGACAACTCATGGGGCCCCCGGGCAATAGGGGATCATGGGGCCCCTGTGTCCTCGCCCACACTCAAACCACACCCAAAAAAAGCCTATGAAAGGGACCAGGAGCATCTCATGGGGCCCCCTACTGACCCCGGGCCCTCGGGCAGTGCCCGAGAGCTCGAATGGTCAGTCCGCCCCTGTATATAAATAAATGAGGAAAGGCCCAAAATTGTTAAATGTTTTAAATACATGTTTTGGGTATTTTTCCATTATAAATACCCGTAAATGAGGAACATGCTCTTAAAGTGTTACTAAACCCTGCATGACCCTGCATTCGTTATATCTGGTCTCCCACAGTGCACACAACATGAAAATGCAATTATTTTAGTAAATATAAACTGCTAAATACCTTTTCTCATCAGCAGTCTTGTGACTTCTACCGTGTCCAACTGGTTAATCTTGTAGGAGGAGTTTTCATTCTGCTCTGACTGTCCTATGAGGCTGCATAATCCCTGACCCTCTGTCTGGTCAGTGTTGATTGGCCCTGTGCTGATCACATGCACCCACCCAAAGAAAAAAAAAATCTCTACCAATAAACACTAAACTGAGCATGTGAAGAGTAACTCCTAGAGCTCTGTACTATCAGCAGATGGATTGGGGACAGTAGAAGAAGGTGAGGATCAGAGAAGACAGGATCAAACAGTCTTTTTACTCAATGTTGAGGATTAACCCCTTAGGTTCCACAGTGAGTATAACAAGCATGCTTTACTGCATATACAGACTGATTTTACTGTTGTGGGGTTTAGGAACACTTTAATTTTTCATCCTTTTTCTATTTTCTTTCATATTTTTGGTGTTATACCATGTAATACCAAAATCAGAAAATGTTTGAGATATAAGATTTCCTATTATAAATATATGTGTGCCTAAATAAAATAAAGCAGTCATACAGTGTAAATTTTATGACTGCTTAAAATATACGTAAAGTAATTTAGGTTTAAAGTGTTTGTATATCTCAAACATTTTCTTTTGTTTTGTATAGAGCAGGATTAGAATCTTTGTCAAGTATTATTATTATCTGATTTACTGTAAGGTCGAAACTCCCTCTCTAATTGTCCTGGTGTCCATTGTAACTGAGACAGAAAGTGAGAATAAATCCAAGCTAGAGGATTGTCTTTATAGCTCCTGGGTGACATCAGAGCCTGCCCACATCCTTCTCTATTAACAGGCATGCAGAAAAGCACAATGCACAAACAAATAAAATGTAGGTCATAAAACCAGTACATAAAAAGTTGTATGAGAATGCTCAAAACCTACAAATTACCATAGTAAAAAAAAAGTCAGAATGCTCAGAATTTGCTGACTTCTATTTACTTCTCTAAACGGGTCATGAATATACATGGTGTCCCAAAATTCAGGATCCATAAGCAAATATATATTTTAAAGTTTTATTACAGTAAATGTTCAAATTGATGGTCTTGGACTATGCGGCGCTGTACAATACAAGAACATTCAACATGAGTAGGGTATTAAAGATGATTTGTCTTCAATACTGCTTGACCACCACTCCACCAATAACCCATACCTAGGTAACCACACATGACACAAATTGGAGTTTAATGGCCATAGCAGCCCTTTATTAACAAATTGTATAAATAACATGGTGACATTCAATACAGTATGAATGGAGCCCCAAGGTTCTTGTAGGCATCTCTACTTAACAGAATACCTTTGTAAAACTTGGAGACAATAACACCAGTAATCACAGATACAGTCCTGAACGAGCAACTCTTCACTGTCCCTGAACCATACAAAATAATGGGAGCCATACGCAAGATGGGCCTCTACCAATGTATATTTTGTATATAATGACTACCTTTAAGGACCTTGCACCCTGCCAGCTGCTATGACATATCTGCACAAAAACTGTGACTTTCATCCCAAAATCATCCCAAAACGAAAGAAGGGAGAGGGGCGTGGCAAAAGATGCCAGCTCTCTTCCCACTGACCATCCCCTTTTTACTTTGGGCTTAACTTTTCCTAGCTTTCCGCACTGATGTTGATTGTTGTTCTGGACCAATACCAGATAGACTACTGGATTCTGATTATCTAAAAGAAAAAAGTTGAGCACCGTTAGGTCTGGAGACCTAGGAGGCCACTGGACTGGATCTCAACTTTCAATCAACCTATTTAAAAAAGTTTGATTTGAAAAATGTTTCACAGCAATAGCAAAGCGTGCTGAAATCACATTATGCTGTTCGAACAAATGAATGTCATCTATCTGAGAGACAAAAAAGACTGTGAAATACAGAGGTAAGTTTCCTGTGTTATATTACTTTAAAAAAATATGGCCCAATTAATCCTTCGTCAAATATCCCTGCCCATACCATAATTAAACCTTCAGCCATCCAGTTTTGGTTGATTTCAGACCAGTAATGTTCATTTTCCCTTTTGATACTAGTACTACCATTGAAATGAAATCAGACTTTATCACTGTAAAACACTATTAAGTCTTGCTGTTGTAAAAAAAAAAACACTCACAATGTTATTTTCCATGTGCCTGTCTGTGTCACCACAGAGCAGTTCTTGGGCTAGCTACATTTTATCAGGATGAAAATAATAGTTTCTAATCATTGGATCCCTATAGATCAAGACTTTGAAACACCCTGTATATTACTATTTCGTTCTTTTTTTTCCCTTTCCACTCACTTTTTGTTTCCATTCCTCTTCCTTATGTAATGCTACTAATTCATATTATTCTAATAGGCTTAACTGTGAGAGTCTCAGTCACTAAAATGTGATATCAGATCTGAGAATCTCAGGATGGCTGCTCAACTTGTTGTTGTTTTAAATAAAGATGCTGGTTGCGTTAAATTCTTTTTGATGCTCTATTGAACATGATAACATGAGAGAGGGAGTTTGAGCAATCAGGATACCCAAATATAGTCACACAGCTTCTTTAAAGTAGAAGTCACTACTTTTAATGATGTTCAGACTGTTCCAAACACAACTCACAGCTTGGAAGATATAAGAAGATTTTAGTATATGCTCCATGCTTGTTTAAAGGATTGAAAACCAATGGAAGCCCCTGTGTATTCGCCATCTAGACTGTCGTGTACCTGGTCGGAGGCTGACTTGACAAGAGGGCTTCCCTTGCAGCTGAGCGCCAAGCACCCTCGAAGGTGTGAACATGGAGTGCAAGGCTCAAAGACTCACTGGTGCCTTTTGGGTAGCTCTGCTGGTGGTTGCTGGCAGCAAATTAAACTAGATAGTTGTCAGCTGGTCTGTCAGGACTGATAGCAGGACCTCTGTTGCCCTTGGAAAAGCAAGCCCAAGACAGTGGCCACAAGCAACATGGCACCCAAGGTGGTGGTGTGGTCATATTGGCAGAATCAGACTGAAGAAGCATAGTCAGGATGGAAGCTGAGGTCATACATGGAGAGGCAAGTCAGAGAGCGAGCAGGAGCATGGTCAGGAACAATAATCAAGGTCATACACAGGAATCAGAAGGGGCAGACAGCTGAGTAATCAGGTAACAGGCCAGGGTCATGCACAGTTGGGCAGGAGAGGTAGAGTCCTTAGAGTAGGCCAGGGTCAAAACCAGGAATCAGGCAGCAGGAAGATCAAGAGAAAGCTGGGTTGGTAACAGTTGGTCTAAGGAATACAAGATACACAGAAGCAAGGAGTACTGGTAGCAAAACAGCAAACTCTGAGTATAGCCACCAGGGGCGGACTGACAACTCATGGGGCACCCGAGCAATAGGGGACCATGGGGCCCCTGTGTCCTTGCCCAAACTCAAAAAACCTATGAAAAAGGTACCAGGGGCATCTTATGGGGTCCCCTACTGAACCCGGGCCCTCAGGCAGTGCCCGAGTTTCCAAATGGTCAGTCTGCCCGTGATAGCCACTGTCCTTATATAGGATGCTTGCTGCCAGTCCTGGCAGCAGGTGTGTGTGAACGTGTAACCCTGCTAACGCGCACGACCATGTAGTATTGGCAACTATGCCAGGTCTTTTCTTCAGTACATGCTCATTTTTGTTCTGCCGTCTTCTTCTCAGCACATGCCCGCCACTGCTCTGCATGGCACCCTGACATAGGCACTCCACACCCAAACTGATAAGTGTTTTGACATAGTTAAAGATGGTTGGCACACTACTCTCGAATTCACTAAAGGGATAGTCTCTCAAATATTTATTAAGCATACAACCTATCCCATTGATCAAAACTAAATCATGTTCAAAGATCCTTCCAGCACTATATTGGACACAGGCTTTTTAGTTAATTCAACAGTTACTGGTAGAAACTTGCTATACAAACTTAGGGAAAGCTGATATTACCAAGAACTCTTTAGACAGCTTGGCAGGATAAAACCTAAATGGACAAGTTTTCCTATAGAGGTTCCAAGTCTTCTAACCTGTATCACTGTACCAAACTTGTCAGTTGTAGTAGTATGTTAACTTGTACTACAGTGGACCCCTAGATTTGTTTCATAAGCATCTAAACCACTTTTTTTATTTTAATAAAATATTTACTTACTCCTGTTGGTCTTTTTAAACTAAAGCACCTAAGTCCACTTAAGGAATGGGGAAACTATGACAATAGAGGAAAAGAATGACTTTACATCAAAGAAAAAAAATCCAATTAGGAAACTATATCAATAACCAAATGAAAACTGTGCTTGAGAAAATATTACAACTGGAAATCAGAATAATTTGGAATTAATGCAAATGCGCCTGTGTTCTACCTCTATGATCACCCGGCTATCAGCTTCACTATTGTTTACCCTCTGGAGAATAAATGTGGATACTTTAAGGTGCTGCAGAATAGGTTTCATTGAGAGTGCTATTTGTCACAGATACAGCAGGATGTAGATAATTCACACTTCAAAAAAAAAAAATGGAAAAAGTAAACCAGAATTGTGCATTGGGAATCTGTTGATATAGCAACCAAGTGCTAAACACTGCTTTTGCGTCATTCGGTATGAGAAAAGGGGCTGAAATGTAATTTCCTTCTGCATTGATTTTAATAGTGATGGAACTAAAGAAGGAGGCTTTTGTCTGTTAAATCATTTGACCATTGTCTTGACTTTTCCAAGCTTCCTAGCTAGTGGCTGATAATTACATTGGCCCTCCAGAGCTTACAATCTTGTTACATCTTGTATCTGAAGTGCTGGAGTAAGTGACAACAGCATTCAAGCATTCATCAGAGATTATATTGCCTTGGAAGACTGCTGAGCAACTCGGGCACTTAGTCGTTTATTGTTGCAGAATATTTTATATATTTTATGTATTTTTCATGTACAGTATTTTATGTATCTGAACTCAAGACAGATATAAAATACACAAATGAATGCAGATTTGTAATGATTAAGGCTCGGGTCACACAAGCATCAGTACATGTCGCTTTCAATGGCACCTCATCGCACCTTGCTGATGGACATGTATTGCAGTGCTATGGTTGTTGTGGTGCATTGGCAGAAAAGGTACATGTCCATTTTCCAGGTAATTTTAAATTGCTGCCTAGCACAGCAAAGGTTAATGTACAAAAAAACAAACAAACTTTAATGTATGTAGGTGAACCCCAGAAAGAAAAGTGTAAACCTATCTGAATACATTATCAAATGTATTTTTTAAATACAAACAGGGTAAATACCTGTATATGACCTGGTATCAACCTCTTGCAGTCTGTAAAAACAGAGCTGAAGTATGACAAGAAAAAAGAGAACAAGTGGCTAATCAATTCATGTGTTGATAAGGAGCATGTTTATAGGAGAAGAAAACAAAGTGCAAGAGATTACCTTGTCAATGTGCTGCTTCTCCTTTTTCTGTCCAGTCACAGGCTTGGGCAGGTCCAGGATGACCTGAACTTGGAACAAGTGGGTTAAAGGAGAAGTATGGCCAAAGCTCTTTTGACCATACTTCTCCTGTGGATCACAGGAGAGCCCTTAGTTCTGAACACCTGTCACCCAGATTCTGCCTACTGTCGGCTGGGGGTCACAGAGCCAGTCTAGACTCTGCAAGGATCCAGACAATAATGTCGGGATCTGCCCAGATGACTGACAGGCAGCTGGCTCAGCCTCTCAGTGCACAGCTGAGAGGCTGAGCCAGCAGCACCCAGCCCCTACACAGTTGGGCAGGGGTAGAGCACAGAACGGAGACTGACAGTCACCACTCTGTGCTCCATGCAGACCCAAGAACTGAGTGATCATCAGTCTTTGATAGCTCAGTTCTTGGTGTAAAGTCAGCAGAGGAAAGCTGCAGCATCGTATCAATGCCGCAGCCATCAAGGTGAGTATATACAGTATGTTTGGGATTTTTTCTTTCCCGTTGTTCTCTTTTAATAATGCTGGCCATCAGACTGAGGCTGCAGGGGGAAATATTTGGACTGAATTTGAATATTGCAGAAAAAGCTGTTATTTTACCTTTTAATAGGCTGTTCGTTTTTGTTATATTTTTGGCTCTGCTTTAACTTTCTTCTCTGAAACCAGATCTCTTTGTAAAAAAATTAAATATTGATAAACTGCTATGTAACACTAAATCAACATAATAATATACAAAATAATAATAATACATTAATGAAAAAGGAGAGGCAGCCTGATTTACACATGTTTGACACCTTACTCTGTCAGTAGCTTGGTAAAAGCTTAAAGGGCTTCAAACATAAAAAAAAATATAGCAAAAAAAAAAATATTATAGCATATAGAATTGCTATGCAATCATTTTGTACTTATTAAAAATTATCTTTCTATTTTAAATCTTCAGCTGCAGTAATTTCCTGCAAAATTCAGTAAAATATGGCAACCTGAAAGTATTTAGTACATTGTTGGTGTACATAGTTGGTGTACATAATGCCTTCACAAATTTAATTTCATAGCTGTGAGATTGGCTCACTAAATTTCCAAGAAGTCTGCATTAAGATACAAAAAAAAAACAGATTTTAGGCACTCCATGCAATAGGAATTTCAGTTTTATTGATGTAAATACTAAATACTTCTACATTACACCTTAGAGTGCACCAATTGACTATAATGAACCACACCCACCTATTCAGAATCAGTCTGCAAAGGGCATGGTGAAACAAACAACTATTTCTTTGGAGCACCAAAAGGTAAAAATTTGCTCCAAAGTTTGTTAAAATCCTTGCAATATATAGTGATCGCCCAGAGGGGATTGTTTTTTTCTCAGCAAAAGTGGAGTTACTCTCTAAAGCTGAGAAAAAAAAACAGAACTAAAGCAGAACTCTAAGAAAAATCTCTTCTCACGTCTGTTCTTTTTTATGTGGCTGCCGCTATGTTTGGAAAAACTCTTATTTTATTCAGTCTGTAAAGTACTGTAAGCACTGAACACGTTACACTGAGACATACAGTTCTGGCTGTAGTGCAGATTTTATAGTGGGCCACTTGCTTCCCACGTGTCTTGCATTCTTTTCACTGAATACAAGTTGTTGTGTGATTTGACGAGAGGAGGTTGTGAAGTTAAATCACACCTTCTTCATTTCCAAAATGCCTTGTATTCAGTGAAAAGAATACACAATGTGTTTGACTGAACGAGGTGGAGAGCAAATGACCCACTATCAGAGCTGTACTACATCCAGAACTGTGATTTTCAGCATTGATGTTTGGTGCTTAAGAGTTTTCCAGAATGCAGGATCAGCCACACATACCAATAGAGGTACTTTATATTCACATAGCAAATGTAAAAAAATAATTCTTTTCCCAATGTTCAGCTTTAAAGGCATTTTTTTTTTGACAGAGGCTATAAACTTTCTCTGCTCCATGTTAATTCTGCATGAGGCTCCTGGTGCTGTGGACTAGGCAAAAATATTTTCTAATATGAGTCTATGAGGACACTGAAACCACTTGTACATGCATTGACATATGGCAGGCCAGTGCTAAAATAACAGTGCCAGTACAACGTGCTTTAGAGCTAAAGGAACACTTAAAAAAGAAATCAAGATTTTTTTTTTTTTTTTAGAAATCATACTTAGGTGGATGGAGCATCGGTCCAATGCTGCATCTGTCCCCAGCCAGCTCTAAGACTGCCAAATGAACGATCAAAGACTGCTGATCACTAAGTTCTCAGTGCTCCATGAGCAGAGAGCTGGTGACTGTCAGTCACCACTCTCCACTCTGCCCCCCCCAATGCTCATTGGAGCACTGGGCTATGGAGGAGGTGGGAGCAGCTGGGGATGGGAGCGGCCCGCCAAGAGGCTGAGCCAGGTGTTGGTTCAGGGATCTGAGTGGATTTCGACTTTAAAGTTGGATATTTCCCCAGCCTGGACCAGCTGAGTGACATCAGCTGACAGCAGGCTTATGCTGTCTTCTCACACACACAGCATCTCCCACCCCCCCATTCCTCTGCTGCCCATTCACAGAAACCTTTCTATTCTGTGAATGAGTTCACCTAATAGAAAGGGTTCTGTAACTGGCAGAAGGAGGGGAGGGGTGGGCACAGCAGCTGCATGTGACTCTGCAGCTAAAGAAGTTGGGACTAGAGGATCCAGCATCAGAGCTCTGAAAACGTAGCAATAGCTATTTTTTGGGAACACCATAAAACCGATACATGTAAATTAAAGAGATAAGTCCAGGAGGTTGCATGCACCTTGTTGGATTTACTGTACCTCATAGTAGGCCTGCACAATTTTCAAAGTGGCTAAATTCCTGGAGCTCAGCTTTAAGTGTCCCTCTGGCTTTAAAACATGTTTTACTGGCACTGTGTTATTTTAGCACCGCCCTGCTTTTTTTCAATGCGTGTGTGGACGGTATAGCAATTGTACGTACAGATATGGACGCGGACATCCATTCTCACTTCAAATCAGTCCCCCTCCCTTTTTGTTGAATGGAATGTGGTCTGTGTGTGTGTTGAGTTCAGGAGTGCTCCGGGCACAGCTGGATACACTTCATGGTTGTAAACCCAATTACCTGGTTCCAGGGTGTCTGTCAGCCTCTTGCTCTGG